AAAAAAAAGCACACCGAAGCAGTCTTCCTAAATATAGCAAAAGCGTTCGATAAGGTCTGGCACGACGGACTACAATACAAACTGAAATGCCTTAACACACCTACAGCTATCTTTAACATCATTAAATCCTTTCTCTATTCACGCAGTTTTACCGTCCAAATTATATGAAACTAACTCGGATATCAAACAAATTAATACAGGTGTACCACAAGGATCAAAACTATCTCTAATACTTTTCAAYTTATACATATCCGACTTCCCCAAAACAGTGAACACTGAAATAGCTCGGTACGCGGACGATAGTGTTATATATTCTAGCTCTGATAAAGTAGAAAAGGTAATAGAAAACCTCCAAAGTCATATCGACGAAGTTCAAAAATAGACACAAAGTTGGAAAATTTTCCTCAACTCATCGAAAAGCTCAGCGGTTTTTTTCATTCTACGTAGAACTAAAAACTACAACACCTTAAAGTTCAAAGGACAAAATATAGCTTAGTATCATAATATCAAATACCTTGGAGTAATATTAGATTAAAAAAACTCACTTGCAATCCACACATATCTCTCAAATTACAGCAAGGTTATCAACGTTTTAAAGTACTATAACCACTAATTAATCGTTAAACTTCATTCAGTTGGAAGTGCTTATTACTTTAAATTTTTATATAAATAAATCATTCGTCCTCTAATCTTATATGCCACCCCGGTCTGGGGTAATTATATGCTACGACTCACATAAAAAAAAATCAAGCCCTAAAGTCCTACAAGTAATCTGAAATGAACTTTGGTTTGTTTATAATGAAGCACTGCACACAGATTTTTAATTACTAACTAGCTTCTTCAGTCTATTGCAAAAAGCAAATGGTTTGCAGTATTATAGACTGAATATTCGTCCAACCAATCGCAGACTCCTACGTAGTCGTCCCCATGGCATCTTAAATCAATAAACTTGTAATTATGTATKTATGTATTAATCTAATTTATATAATTTATATAATTGTGTAATTGTAAATAAATCACTTCGTAATGTGATAATTTTTATTTTTCTGTACATCAAAAAAACTTAGTTCTTACTTATACCGCTAACATGATCRGATATACTAAATGTCAAAAACTTCCTTCTGTATCCCTAAGTTTAGATGATTATAATCTGTAAAACTTTAATTATTAAAAAAAAAGAAAAAAACTGGCATGTTATCTATAATCAGTAATCACATAGACACATAGTATTTCTACGTCATAGCATAAACCTCATGACGAATTACTGTTTAATTAATTACGGTTTACTAACGCGTTATGCTTATATATTTGGCGAACAACTGAAAATGATCAACACATAACAATACTTATTCAAAAAAAATAAGTCTTAAGATTATTTTTATAATACCTATATTTCTTTACGAATTGATGAAAATCAACAAGAATTTTAAATTATCAAAATACCAAACAGCTTAAATTATTTATTTTGATCTTATGACTTGTATGCTTTGCTCAATGATACTCGTAATTTTCCTTACTACTCACTCCTCCGTTAACTATTTTCCCCGGTACACGCTATACGAATGGTAAATTAGTACTGAAAATCCACAATAAAGAGATGGGTACTCTATATCTGTATGATAATTTTTGTACAAAAGAGACGAGTATGAGCCAATCAAAACAAAATCACCCAAGAACAGGGTACATATGATCGGTCGTGTTTTTCGTACACCAACTAACAGTGGTACATAGTATAGTGGAGTAATGTGTCTACTGTCTACCACCAAAGATTGGATTTTTGATTCCTAAATGTCTGATAAGGTCGATGTCACCATATTCATATAATATAATATAAGCACTTTGATTATCAGATACCGTTTTATTAGTACTTAAACTTTAAAGCAACCAGCAAAAACAAATTAGTTTAATATTATTAACCGTAAAAATATGTTGTGTATCACATGCGTCCGTAAGAAACAAACATTGTGACACATATTTTAGTCTTCGCTAATTACTGATATAGATGTCGATTAAATTAGTACTTTGTAACACAATTTAGTGCATTTGGTTKATCTAAACCAGTACCTCGCACCAAGCGTCTATAACCTATTATGTTGACTACTTACGTCAAATACTTACTAAAACAATCTTTGGTTTCCCACTTTTCCTTTACTTTCACAATTTTTTGTGATGGTTTCACGTGACGTTACTATGGTACACCCTTTTATTATTTTTTTTTAAATAATTATTCCACTGTGTAGTCAAAATTTCAATATGAATAAATGCACCAGAGAAATCATTTACGCAGTGAGCTGTGCCTAAGAGATAGATGTGAGGCGACGCATGTATTCAGAGCTCTCAAATATCTGTAAATAATTTAATATATTATTATTTATTTAAACGCCTTGACGGATTTCGGATGTTTTGGTACAATGTATGCTGCAGTGTATGTAGATCAACACAAACAAAGAATTTTTCGAAGAGTCCGYAACCCGTGGACCTTTTTTAACACTAGATGAGGGAGATCCATCGAAATATTACAGCACTTATTATCTCCTTAGGCCACTGACACATTATTTCCTAACTCTTTGGTTAACCATTTTTTCTGGCATACCCATTTCGACTAGTGTTAACACTTATTACAAAAAATTCACAAAATAAAAATAAATACTGTACATAAATCCTTATACAAGAGTATACAAAAATTTTTAAACAAGAGTATCGATATTATTGGTCATGGTCAATACATTTTTTTTTTATTTACAATCTGTTACATAAAATTGAACATGGTCAATACATAGTAAATATTAAATACAAATTACAATACATTTTTATTTTAATAATTTTTCTTTGTCACTCAATCGATATAAAAAAAATAAGCCAAAAATAAGGTCATGTCATCGGTCATTCAATTGTCATGTTTATTGTACTTACTCCAAATACCAAACACTAGATTCTTAATGTCTAAATATCTGATAATGTCACCATGTTCGAACAGAAATATCCATACTCTATATTGATACTTGAAGCACAAGAGTGTATACAATTAAGTTAAATATGTAAACTATAGAAGTATAGGTATCACACAAGATAGGTACTGCAGCACAAACGAAAAATTAACAAAGTAACACAATTCAATCTTCACAAACCACTGGCACATCGAACTAACACAAATAAATACTAATTCCTCCATCCATAAAGGTGGGTGAATTTTCTATAGTATAATATCATTACACTAGAATTATCGTAAGTGACAATGGTTAATAGATTATCTAGGATATAGAACACTTTTGCTCCCATTATCTTCTAAGATTTGTTTGATCACACGCGTGCACATTTAGTTGCCTACCTTTTGCAATGTAGCTAATTATGGTCCGAGATAGCTAGTAATAATTGTATCCTCCGGATGATTTCAAATTGTTTACCGATCCGATATTGAAGTGGCCAAATAGTTTATTGGCGTATTTCATTATTCAGATTATAATAATGTTATTAATCCATAGATTCAACGGTCGCGGTCGTTATCGCAACTTATATCTGTCACGTTACTACTACATCCTTCAACCGGATACAGGCAACCCAAATCGCATAAGCGCTGTTTGAATGTGGGATAGTCGAGGGACACTGATATACATGGACAAATCCCTCCCCCTCACAGCAAGAGTCCTAATTGCCATGGGTGGGCCCCCTGGGCAAGTGTCACTTCAGTGAGCGACACCACCAACGTATCAACACCACGAAACTAAATAATTCAATTTTTCTGCAAATTTGTGAACATATTTAAATTATTATATTTTACATATACTCATAAAAATAAGCAAAGGATACTTATATAAATCGTAATTTTACATATATATCAATCAATTATTAAAGTTTCGTTTTAACTATTTGCATTGTTAAAGATGTTAAAAATGACAACAATTTACGATTATGTATAATTTTGGAAAGGAAAAGCGCTGACCCTGGTTAAGATGCCAGGGCATACCACCTCCTTGGGACTGTCCTGATTAAAATTNAGCCTACAATGGTTTACATGTTTAATTTATAAATATAATGAAGATTTGATAGTTTTGATGTGCTGTGTTCATGTCTTCATTTTATATTTGTACGCACTTTACAACATACATATTGTTCGTGCCCACAGTGCAGCGCAGCGCACCACTAGCGTCCACTACTGTGCGCATTGTCCCACTGTTAGCTTATGATAGTGGATTTGTTATCAAAATGATAGTGGGCGGCGAGCGTAGTTAAACGGTTTTATTATTATAAAATATAAGTGCACGGAGTTATATGAACTAAAAATGTACGAAATATGCAAACATTTATGCACATGATTTTCATTCAAATAATATGCATAAATATGTGTACAAAAATGCATTTTAATTGAAATTATTAAATTTAAAAATGTATATAATTCATTAAATAATTTATATGGAACAACAAAATGTATTAAATGCCTAGTTGATATAATTTAATTGTATTTTGTATGATATATACGATTGAATGTTGTATTTTGAACATTCACTCATCTAAATAAAAACTCACGAACAAAAATCAATCAAAAAAAATTTAGTATATTTTTATAATACAATATTTCAAAGTTACCTGGAGAATACTATTGTTCCGRCATTTTTTTAATAATAAGTTTCTCACGTTTTAGAGTTTCCTGTGGGACTTTATTTTCATTTCTCAAGTTTTCGAGTGGTTCCTCCTCTATTGTTTTTAACAATTTCTCCAATTCAATTTCATGATCTTCTAAACTTTTCACTTTTTCCATCTCCTGTTTAGCTAATATATCATTTGATCTTTTTAATCGCTCTCCAAGAGATAATCTTTCGTTAAGCTTCAATTCTTTTACAATGATTAATTTCAATCCTTGGCTATGACCATTTACAATTTCTAAAAAGGTTAAAAAAAATAATAGTTTATTAATTTACCATATTGTAAAATATTTATGATATAAACTACATAAACATATGTAATATATATTGATAATTTACAATATAATAATTAGTATATATTTTTTTACAAGTTTGTATTTACATAGATTCTTTTAAAAGGTATTTAATCTATAATTAAATAATTAGAGTGAGTAACTTTTTATAAAAATTAAAGGTAACATCATTTTTGATGGCTTCTCATAGGATTTTTATTATATTTTAATTTTAAACTGAGTTATGAGTATTTTAAGATAAACAAACAATTTACAATTTTAAAATACACATAACTCGCTTTAAAATTAAAATTAAATAAAAATCCTATGAGAAGCCCTCAAAAATAATGTTCCCTTTAATTTTTATAAAAGGTCAATTCCCTCTAAATTTTAAACTGATGGAGCAAAACGTGATCTGAGCGTAAAATTTGCTGTTTTGCACTTGTAAGATGGAGACAACACATGCTGATGTAGCATATTCTTAATCTATCAAATTATTTTACTTACRAATGGTTTATAAAAAGTGTTCAAATAAACTCAAAAAAGTTAAAACACACTACTTATATTACTCTTACATAATAAGTGATATATACATAGAACTGAAGAAGTAAAAATATAATAGGTAGTTAACAAATAAACCAAATACAGATTACATTTTGAAAAAACCTAATAGATAGACATTTTAATATTGTGATTATTTGGATTTTATACTTATTTTAAATAGTCTTCAAGCACGGTTATTTATTTAATTATTTTGCGTTAAAAATGTATTCATTTATATATGCTACAACATAGACTTTCAGTGCATAACTACGCTAAGTGCTATATCTGTAATCCATTTATATATGTTTATTATACAATATTGTATCAAATAAATAAATGTGATCTAAAATTATTTTTTTCATTATAATCTTAAAATTGTTAACTATTTTTTTGTTTGTATATAACCATCATAAGTGATTGAAAATTATATCTATGAAAGAATTAAATGTATGTAAATATGTAATTATAATKACATTTTAAACATAGATATATATTAAATGTTTATACAGTTATGTATACTTAAAATGTATCATTCTATAATACTTTTATAAATATTAACGATATATAGGTTTAATAGAATATACAAAAATTGTATTTTTAGTAAATCAAGTCGTAAATACCTATATGGCTATATTAAATTATTYAAGTATAATTAAAATAAATATAATTAGAATATATAAATACCATTTTTTATATTAAAATTATCAGGTACTTTGACTTCGTACTGGCCATTCAAATATGTTTTTCCTTCAAAAGATATTAAAGAAATTCTAAAAATTCAAATAATTTATGTTATCATATGACAAAAATAATAAATAATAATATGTTTACTTACTTCGAAGATACCATTGGGGCTAAAATAACACTAACTAAGCATAGATATAAATTAAACATTTTGTAAATAATTTCAACAAACTTAAATAAAAAAATTAATGAATACGCTTACTAACGTCAGTAGTTTTACAAAATATTCTAAGTAATAAATCCCAATACCTATATAGAATTATAGTATTTATGAATAAATTATTCCTACAAATGTTTTAAATTTTAAATTTATAAAATTAAATACCTACAACGGTTTTACATAATTACTATCAATTTTGACAAATATTGTCTTTATTTTAACAAAAAATATGTTTATACAATGCATTACCATTATATTCCAACATAGCACGAGCAAACAACCATAAATTACTAACAGAAATATATTTATAGTTGATACTGTTTACTTTAATGCATGTAAATAATATTCATTTTTACCATAYAATTATTATTATTATTATGTATCGCATTCATAAATTTGTATAAAGAAGATAGRTTTTAAACACCTTTTTCGTCCAACTTTAACTACAACTATATTATAGCTTAATTATCTATGAGAATTGTGAACCATAATTGACTTAAAACACCATACATCCACAAACTTATTTAATATTTCATTAAATAACAAAACATACTATAGACACAATATTTATGGACTGTAATGTTGCTAAGAGTTATTACTGTATCTGTTTCCAGTCCAGTATTAKACACAACACTAAAATAATTAGTATTGCGGTACACATTTGCCAGTCACCTTTTTACTTTAACACGGATGACTAATTAGTTGTTAAAGCCATTCGATTATTATGTAATCAAAATAACTAAGATAATAATTCTAGAATATTAGCTACGCATAAATTATGCGTGTGTATAGGGTAGCCTACATTAGATCTAACACGGCTGTAGACACTAAGAAAAGTAGTTTATTATTTTTRTCTTATAATTCGCGAATTGATTAAAAAATATCTAATAGTCCAACATTGATACTACTATAAAGTACTATTGAGTGATGTTTACTTGTCGAATATGATGATCATTCCTTGGATCTTGATCTATTGTGCAGCACCTGGGTAATTAATGTTTTGATATTTTTGATTTAATGTAAAATATTAAAATTTAAGTATCTACTAATTCAAATGATTTATTCTTACATTTAACTTGTAARCGGGTTATATTCTGGTTAACTATATATATATATGTTTATGTGATTTGGGATTCGTTGAAAATCTTGTGTTTTCTTAACATTTTCTTAACAAGACTCATCTGAGTGGTACACACTTACAAGGTGATTGAAAAATAACCCAATAAACTTCACAACCTTAATAAACGGTAACATAATATTAATCATAGATATGAATTTCCAACAATAAATTATATAACATGATGTAATATACTTATATTATACCAACATAATAAATAATAATAATCATGATGACATATTTTACCATTTTCGTCTGAATTGTATTGAAATTGCATATCTAAATCGCCGTCGTATAAAATAATTAAATCAACAACATTCACTTTCATATTTTAAATTCTGAGCGTAGTAATGAATTCATTAATTTTAGAATGATGTATGTTATGTTTTCTTCGTATCTGACATAACCTTATGATAGTCATAACGCTTCAATTTTTTTTACATCAGCATATTTTCTGATATAAAAGTGAATCTAGTTGATATTGTGGGGAAGGTAAATAATTTCCAGCTGATTAAAAAAGTGTCRAGAAAAATCAAAAAAAAAAAATAAAGACAATTGAGAATTTTTGTGAAAAACAGTCTATTGTAACTAAAAAACTAATTACCTTAAATACTTAAATTTTCACTAAATATTTAGATGACCATTTTCCATAGACGATAAAGTTTTAAAACAAGGTTAATAAAATGCTGTACTTAAAAATGTATAAAATGTTCAAATTTTTTATGGATTTAAGTTTAAGACAAGATTTCTTATAAGTATTTCATACTGAAATCATAAAATCTAACAAATTATACGGACAACGCAGTTATTTTTTAATAAATATTTTAAATCCCAATTTGTTTACATTAGAAATTTAGACAGAGTATAGCAAATTAAGTTATTTTATTGTAGGTAATTTAAAAATATTTTTTTAAATCGTGGKTACATGAAAACTAGTATATTTACTAAGTATATTATTATATTTTATACACTAAATAATACTTTCAAATACAATTTTTCGGAAAATATTAATTCATCCTATAGTGCCTACTGTATAGTGAAGTAAATTAATTTAATACCAATAATATCAACAAATATACTAAGTAGTTACTAATACAGGCTGGCGGACCGTCTTCCCTCAGATTCGTTTTTCGTGTTATTAAGAACCCATGAATATTACATATTTTATTTTTATACATCTATATATTTTAATAACATATATATAGAAGTATTTCATTAAAATCATAATGCAGAGTGTGTGTCGGACGAAGCTGCTACCGTGGGATCCRCTGAATAAGGGTTTTTGATGTGGCACGGTGCATTGTCACTATAACACACAGGTATAGTCAATCAGTCGTAGCATGGCCAGTGTTAGATTAACAATTTGTTGCTATACTTAAAATTTGTACTACCAATTTAATAATAAATACATTAACTATTTTAATATTCAATTGGTGCGTACGTTTTATTTTGTGTTGTGTGTAAAATCCATAACAGTGTTCAATGATTTTATATCATTGAATTCAAATTTAAAACCTCCCCAGATATTCCAGTTTTGTGCTAAACTATCAAATTTTATAT